TCTCGTATAGTGGCGAACTAGGGGATGAATCCGGGTTTGCGCACTTTCCGGGAACCGATTTCAATAAAACTTGGTAATTATATGTAATTCCACGTACTTTTGAGGTCAGTACTCTGTACTGAGGTTATCTAAGTAAAAGAGTTTCGCATCGAGAAATGTTTCAACAGTGAAACTTAGGTTCTATAAGGAAGTATGGCAACTTGCTAAAGAAAAAAGCACTAAGACTTGTTTAGCTGGCTTGTAATTGCGTCGAGGGCTCGCCAAGATAAGCTCGTTTCTTTTAAATTCTCCAGAAGGAAATTACTCCAATTTCTCATTAAATAAATGAGGACTGTTGCACTAGTTACTGAATCTTTTTTAATTTATTTTATTTCAGCCAAAGGAGGTCTCGAGAAAGTTGTGAGTTTGTTTGTAGAGGTTTGATTAACTACTTAGTCCGCATTTGATAATTAAAAAAGGCGGCAGGGTATTCCGAAGATAGTTTCTATTACTAGATTTTTCTATTTGATTTTAAAAACCTACTAGTGCGTTTTAATGCGAGTCATAACTTGAAACGTTTGTGTATTATGTATTTATTTACTGTCTAATACTTATATGCATACAGTTTGTATAATTGTGGGCTCGCGCAAGATCGTGCAGGCATTCGCGAGCTCGCGCGTGAAATCGTGTTTCCGTTGCAAATATGAACAAATATTTCACTTCTGGCCTCGCCCATCCTCGTCAATCCAGACTGTTATCACCGAATATGCGCTAGGAGAGAATTGAAATTTTTCCATACAAATTTCAATCCTCGTCTCGCCTCGCCGGTGAATAAGCACCTAGAGGCTGTAAATTTGTATTAAAATATTAATTGCCAGGAGTGTAAATTACATGCTTACTTTTCCCCGTGGAAGATCTGCTGATAATTTCTCTATAAATTGGCCACATCTTCACTATACGCTGTGTCTAAATACTGATTTTGCAGTTAAGGTTTAGTAGCAGTAGAGCTCCTTGTGAAAGAGTTCGTCCAGGGAAGTACTGCCACCTTACCTATTGCTGCCGCCAAGCAGTAATGTCAGCATTACTGTGCTCCGGTTTTGAAGGGTAAGGGTACTGGAGAAATTACAGGCACATGGGACTTGTCAACTTATGACTCAGGTAAAGAATGCCAGGCCAAGCACAGGCACTCGGCGCTATAAACATCACATCTGCCGTTTGATAGCGTGTTTTGTGATTTTTGTGTGATTTGGCTACATCTAGTGTCTATGTAATTCACTACTTGTGTTACTACATAAACAAACAATATAACAAAAAGAAAATAAAAAGATGAAACAGAGGGACAAAGGAGGTTAAGGAACTAATAACAAAATAATTCACATAATGTAAACAATTACGAAGTCATACATTTTTATTATATTTATATTATCTTTTGTGTGATTATCTGTTTTTCTCCCCGTACGTCATATAATTCCTTTCCTGTACGTCTGGCGTAACCTGGGCAGCTATCGGCGACAACCTTACGCCGATTGACAAATCCTTACACCACGATGGCGCATTAAATTGTGTGCCATCGATACGACAAGAAGAAGAAGAAGATTAACAGAAACTGTATCTGGGTCTAAAGAAACAGCTACATTACGCCGCGAGTACCTGCAGGTGTTAAATACACCGCGCCAACTGCCCTGGCATTTCCGTACCGTATGAAGCCCTTGTTTGAAGACCGTGCAGCTACCGTTCTCCGTCAGGGGAGTACCGAGGTACAGCAGCAAGACCAGGCGGGTCTTAAACAGACTATGACTCAAATTACCAAATCTTAGTTATTCTTCTTTTTTATTTAGATTTTTCTTCTATTTTGTTATTGTACTTTTTTTATTTATTTTTATTTAATGTGATCTAAATTCGTTTATTAATTAATTGTAGACATAATTTTCATTTTTTTACTAAATCTGTTTCTTTTTTTGCATTTTATGGTCGTTTTAATTAAACGTCACGCTGCATGCCGCGCTGGCCAGATTCGGTCTGCGCCAGAAAGTCAAAATAACAATACCATGAAGCTGTTTTTCGCTTCACACGGTTATTCTACAAGGAACAGCTTGTTGGTCTGGTTTGAGTAGTTAACATAGGAATACAATATAATACGAATGTAAGTTGACCAACTTTTTACCGTATTCGGAAAACAAATTTCTATATTTTTCGCAGAAGAGAAATGAATCCGCTTTTCGTTTATTGCTCTTACAGCTCAATACGACGATTAGTTTCCGCCTTGGCAGAGAGCCAAAAAACTTTGGACGCACTTCAAATGGCGTTGACAATAAGTATTGGAATGGAAAAGAAAATATTTTATCGACATTTCTCTACACATACATCATCTTGTGTGTATAGAGGAGAGGACTGTATACACTATTAAGAATATGTTATTATTAAGGATAAGTTTGTATAAGTTATGAACTTTTGTAGCACTAGAGCTTGTTCAGGGAAGAGTTCATTCAGGGAAGTACTGCCACTTACCTATATCTGTCACCAAGCAATAATGTGAGCATTGCCGGTAGCGTTCCGGTTCTAAAGGGTAAGAGTGCTAGTGAAATTACAAGCACGTGGGACTTGTCAAGTCATTATATCTCAGTGTGACGGGCGCAGTGGAAGTGCTCCTCAGATCTTTGCGATTTAAAGCTCTGAGTAGTACTGCAACTCCCATGGATAGGCGTGTCGCTTACCACCAGCACTTGTTCGTCCAGTTACTTGGTGTCATAAAAAAATCCTTGCTAAGAATTGATGCTCATACTGGAGCTTTCATATGTATCACAAAGAGTAGAAAATTATTTTAAAATAACTTTTCCTACAATTAACTACCTAAGCGTGAATAACAAGGGCTTATTTATACCTTATTGAAGAGGTCCTGATGTGTATACCGAGTTTGATGATCAGTAAGTATTTTTTATTCAAGTATATGAGTCACGCTAGCAATTTCAAACCCATTACTGTCGTGTTTACTTGATTCAGATTACACCTACCTGGTTCATGCATCATATACATCATGATAGCGCGTGCATTTTGTACCTTTTTTTAATAAATATTTTATAGACATTACTTTGGGGAAAGCCCTATAATATGCTTCAATGGAAACGGTACTCGTACCTATGAAATGTACTTGTCTAACAATTGCTTATCTTTCTCTACAGTAACACTAAACGTACATTCACTTACTTGTGCATTCTGTAATGCAGTTGTTATGAATTGAAGTCGCAAAGTACATTGTGATTAAAACGTATGTTTCACGTATATGTAAAACCTACGTCTATATATGTAATGTGTAGCGAACAGTGTGAATGTCTGTTTACTAGGGCGTGACGAGCGGTGAAATGAGTCCTACCGGCCGGAAAAAACAGCTATTAGTTGCTACTCGTATACATTGTAATGGTATTTTTATTCAATAGTTTCTTTTTTGTACGCAAAGCAAGATAAAAATACGAATTAAAGTGTGTAGAACGGTGCAGACTGCAGATTGCAGCGGTTGACCGCGGGGTCCAATTGGCTTCTATGAGCGGCAGCAAATGAGTGTCATCTATATTCAAATAAATTGAATACACATACATACATACATATGTACATACATATTATAACGCCCGTCTCCCGCCGGCGTAGGTAGACTATGGACTCCACTTGCTACGCTCCTGACAAACCTCTCTCGCCTCCTCCACTCCCATCAATCCCATCTTATATCCCCGTTTATTGTTGATACTTTTAATCTGGCCTTTATCAAGGACATTCCCAATCTGATTGAGACATGTTTGCCGAGATCTATCTCTCCCCACGCTTCCATCCACATTCGCTCTATAAATTTGTGCCGTCAATCTACCAACATTCATTCTTTTTCCATTTTCATTATTCTTTTTACCGAACCATCGAAGCATCCCTCTCACTATCGTGGTCACGACATCATCTTTCATACTACAACGCTCTCTGACTATACTGTTCGGTATTCGGTCTTTAAGACTAATACCGCACACATTGCGGAAAGCTCTCACTTCTACAGCTCTCACCCTACTTTCAAATATTTTTCTGCCACATCTAACACTCACTACCAAATATTAGGGTTGGGGTCAGCACGCCCCGATGAACAGCCAAATGCGCCTGTTGTGAGAAATTCTGGCTACCCATTGAGGCATACAGAACTCCATTCAACCTACTTCCGGGTTGCACTCTCCGCTCAATATCACTTGATAGTTGAATACAATTTCATAGAAATCATTGATCGTAATATATAATATTAAACGTACATTCACTTATAATATGATGATCAATAATTTCTATGAAATCATGATATTAATTTATTTTTTGGGAAATTACTAAGCCAGTTTGTTATAATTATTGATACAAAGATCGAAAACAAAGAAACGAACCTGCATCTGCATGCCAAAGTAGGGCCACCACTTTACCAACTGAGCTACAGATTGAGCCAGCAGGTCTTACGAATATTTCTATACATTTGGATCGAATATATTGACGACCTCCGTGGTCGACTGGCTTGTACACCGGTTTTCATGGTGTTACCATTTTTGAGGTCCCAGGCTTATCCACCGCTGGGTCAATGTAGAAAACTAACTTTTCTATATTGTCTCGGGACTGGGTGTTTGTGATACCGTCGTTATTTCCGTTTTCCATAACACAAGCGCGTTAATTACTTAATTTGTGATCAGAGCAACGGATGTGATATTTTATAATATTTATATTTGTTTTATATGTTTATGTTTGATCTTTGTACTAATAATTATAAACACTTCATAGAAATGAGTAATATCACGTACAGGCCATCGTTTGTGGTTGACTACCGCAATACCTACTTAATATTGCTAATTATTCAATTCAGACCTGTTTATTTTTTGCTCTTGCATTATATAGTTGTAAGGGCACTTACATGTAGTATAATACATAAATGAATTATTTGTAAGTATATTACTGTATATATTAAAAAATATAGGTACAGAATAAAATAGTTATATTTAATATTAATAGTTAAAACAGGTCAATATCATTTCAAAGGATCATTCAAAATTATTTTACTTGCTTCGAATTATAAGACAGCAACAATATCATCATACAAAGGAGAATGATCTGTTATTACGTTTTTCGGTTGTAATCGGTCCACGTTTTCAACATTGCCTTTCTGTTTATACGAGTTGGTCTTTGGACGCTTGTACGATCGTTGCTCCGTACGCGTATAGCAACTCGGGTCTTGCCATTTGGTTAGGTCAAGTCCAGGAATATGTGTGCAGGGTACATGCGCATTCCTAAAAAAAGTATCTTTTAGAGAAAATGTTTAAATTTAAATTTGGATATGTGAAGACTAAAAAAAAGTATGAGGATCTCAATTCGACTGTGTCTTTTTTTTTTAGTTAGGAACCGATTTGATTCATTTTTGTTGGAAAGAGGCTACGTCAGTATGATCCCATTAAGATTTTAACAAAATATTCCACCTTTAAGGGTAGCAAACTAAGGGATGATTCCCGTCACTCACTTTTTAGTTTCAGTTTGTATGTAAAACTTGAAGGCGGTTCCTTTTTTTTAATAAAAATTATGGTTACAATATAAAGTAAAATAATATCGATTTTAATTTGTTTCGCAAGACTATAAAAACCGTGTTCGCTTTTCATTTAATATTGGAGCAGTAACCGGTACGGAATAAATTGAACAAAATCGAATTGTGCAATAATTTGCCGGACGATCATTGTGTACACTTTAATACTGAAGAGCAAATCGAATACACACCCGTGTCCGACATTCAGGAACGCCCGCGGCTGAATGAATTTGATGGCTTCAGCGTTGTTGCACGCCAGTCGCGCTATGTTGGTACGCCTGATTTCATACAATTGAGCTGCCAGTGTTAAAAGTCTCCTTTAGTTTTAAATCGACAATTCGTTTTGATTGCAATTCCGTGTTTGCTTATTCGAAAGCTCTTACGGTAGCAAGTCAGTTATTTTAAACTCAGATTTAAATAAAAATCACGCTTAAAATACTTGATATCAGTTTAAAAATCTACTTACGTATTGTGAAACTATGAAATTGGTCACCTCTCTCAAACCAAAAACGATCGGAGAACCTAAACAATTGCAGTTGTTTCGTCATGATACAGAAGAGGGTAGGACCTACGAAAGCATTCTGTATCAAAGTCTCGCTTGCGATTCCAGCTAACAAATCTACGTCTTCTATATCATCGTAAAGTTTCTTGAGGGCTAGAACTTTCTGAAATAAATATACTAACTTAAATTGACTTGCTCGAAATTTTAGCATAAAATTGACAAGTATGTCATACCTCCATATCCATAACATCGAGAAAATCTTCAAACTTTTTAGCGGGCTTCATTCCACAAAGATGGCGATAGTCATTGTAACCACGCACGCCTAAATCTCGACCTCTCTGTATGTCTATGGCAACCAAATCATGAGTTCTTTGTAGTCCCCCATAGAAGTTTTCAGAAATCTGCAACAACGCTTAAAGTATATAATTTGCATTACAAATCTAAACAAAGCAGTAAGTTATAATAATAATAGTATATTCAAAAATCTCTCACTAGATATGATTAACGACAACGAATGTCGAAAGTCGGTACAAAGATCTATAATAAAAACACAGGAGAATTTCGACGACTCGGTAACTGGACCCGTGGCTCAGATGGTTGGAGCAATGCTACCATGCAGCATGGATGTGGGTTGAAGTCCCACTAGGTCGATAAAAATTTATCTGAGTGTTCGTTATTTCACAAGAAATGTCAATAAATAATAATAGAATCATAATAATAATGCACACACTCATAGCCCCGCACTAAGGAAACCCTGTATCGTGGGTGCCATGGACATACACGTAGACAACTACAAATTACACATAAATTCACGACAGAAATAAATGCATTTCTCCCGGCGGGAATCGAACCCGGGACATCTGCGTGGCAGTCCAGCATGTAACCGTTCGGCCACGGAGGCAGTTGAGCCGTAAAGAGATACTAATTTTTCTTTGTATAACTGAGATGACGTCTCAGAAAACATCCTAAATGAGAAAATTCTTGATATAAACAAGCTGCAATTAAGGCAAGTTGCCGACGCAGACGTTTCAGAGTATCTGTCATGACAAAGTTTGTCTAGTTACATGGACAACAAAAAGGTTAAATATTCAAGAAAAAGTAAGTTGATCGGAAATGTTATTACTTCAGGGTCTACAACGTCGTCCACCTTAGCAGCTTTCTGATAAAAGGTACCGCGGTTAATTTCTTCGAAGTTTGCCTCTTGTTCAATTACCCCAGATCTGTAAATAGTATCGCTAAACGAAAAGTATCCAGTGTAGTAATAATTTTCGTTGTATTTTCTGAAAAAAAAAAAAATCGTGTATTATGTGAATGAGCTAGATATTAAACAGCATGCAATTTATTCACCGTGATATTACATAACAATATTTCATATACTTTGAGAAATGGTCACCATCATAACATCATCGACCTTAAGTACACGAACAGTTGCCGACCTTTTTTCTGTGACCTTGAGATTTTTGACCTTCCCATGTCTGTATATCCTGGAGGCATCTTTGTTTGTAAAGACGAATTCGAGCGAATTTCCAGACAAAATAAGCTCTCAAGTGTGATTATCCGTGGCCACCAAGCTGGTGCCACGCAACCGTCCCGGATTCGATTCCCACGCCGGGAGAAATATTTGTATGCCTAAATTTATTTCTCTCGTGAGTTTAGGTGTAATTTGTGGTTGTCTATGTGTGTATCCATGGCACCCGTGACACAGGGATTTCCTGACTCATGAGTGTGTGCGTTTTTTATTATTATACTTCGCACTAGGAAATATAGGTTCAAAGAATTTGTAAAAGGACCTTATTTTTAATTAGCGTTGTCGATATGCTACCTAAAATATTCAATAAAATCCTAGATGCAATAAAAAATCTTAACGGAATGCGATTCAAGCATGTCACTGTATTAACGTTGGCAGTACTTTCCTAGACGAACTCTTTCACAAGAAGCCTTGCTGTTAAGCTGAACCGCATCAAATAATGCACCTACGTATACTTAGTTGTTATACAAAGCGTCCCATTTATTTGTTTTTTTGTTTAATAGTGCTATAGACACACATAGATAACCACGAATTACACCCAAACTTAGCAGAGAAATAAATGTAGGCCATACAATTATTTCTCCCGGCCAGAGCATCGAACCCGAGACACCTGCGTGGTAGTCCAGCGTGGTTACCGTTCCGTCACGGAGGCAGTTAGTTTTATAGATAGAAAAGTGCACATTTGACCTTCATATCTGCTGGTGGAAAGTGATGATGAAGTCGACAATGAAGCATGGGCATGCTTCATTGTCGACGGTGGGCACCTGTACAATACCTATTCACTCTCGCCTTGAAAAGGCCCAGGTTATAGGGAACAAATATTCAGGCAGAGAATGTGGAAAAACGTGGAAGACAACATATAACAAAATGTCGCCTTTTTAATGAGGTAAGGTATAATTTTCAGTAAAGAATTTTGACAAATTTTATGCCTTTAGGTGTGACCCACGGCGTGTATGATCGGTGTAAAAGGAGGATGGATGACTATGACTTTGTTTATCTAATATAACACTTCGACAATCCATTCAATTATCCATTGTAAAGAAAACGTAATGTAATATTTACTTCACCCTTCCGTCCAAAAGAGTATGGAAGAATCTTGTTGCGATGTCGTACTCCGTGTACACAAGAGGTCCTGTTTCGTTCTTATAAACATTCAAGTGTTGAACTCTTTCCGAAATTAGACTGTTATGCATCATATTTTCATATCCTGTTGCAAATGTATTAAAGACTATAACATTCACACTATAACATAAGCACTCCAAACATTAACAAAGTATTCAATAGGATTACAAAATGTTGTAACATTACTCCACAAACTGCTTAACACTGTATTTAACGACTTTATTCTGCACTAAAACATAGAGAGATACGAATTAATGTTTTTGAATTTTAATTACCTAATAGCACCGGCAAAAGCTCGTAGAAAAATATGTTAGCAGCTGTAGCTATGTTGATCTGCCGGGCGACTTTGAACAATCGGTCGTCTTTCCAACAAGGATTCAGTTCATGAAGAATCTTTGCTAAACGGTTATGTTCGCGCATAAAGAATATGGTCAATGTCGTTGTTCGTATGTCGAAGTTTCCAACTTCTGGTAAACCTACAAAATAAGAATTAAATCTAGTATTTTGGTTATAGATGTTTCAGTTTATATAACCATAGTTCTTGTAACTGCCAAACTTGCGGACTCACCGAAAAGATAACAATAAGTTTCATTGCATTGGTTTTGAATACAAACGTCATTTCTTGTAGGAACAGCTTTTCGAACAACTTCACTCATTTCAGGAGGTAGAGTCTCAGTTTCATTATCTGTTAGCTTAGTTGTATTGTTTATTATATTTAACGGTACATAACGTTCTCTTCTGCTTTCCAAGTTCAATAGCCCATGCTTGTACGCTCTGACTTGCTTTGATGACATCTCGTCTACACCATATATTGTCGATAAATCCAGGCTTGGTGTTTGGAAATTGATCTGAAAATCGAAATTGTTTTGGGACTCTAAATGCTTGTCTCTCTGCAATAAGTGTGATTTTCCGTGTCTGAGATTATAAAGGCCAACCCGCTTTATATTCGTAATAACAGTAAAACTACCCGCAAAGTTTCGTCTACGACGCTATTAAGGATGGTCGACTAGTAGGCTAACGGCTCTGCACGTACATGACTCGCATTTATTATTAAAAATGCTATAACCGAAGTAAAGTTGGCACTTCAGAAGTTCGGACTCTCGAGGTTTTAAGAAGTTTGTATCTCAGTGGGTTAGTGAAGGAATATTTTAAGCGTGGAAAGTTTACGCATATCACAACTTGTATGCATCAAAAGTTATACGAACCTGTTCGGGGTATATTGTTTCGGGCGCGCAGCCAGCGTCTTGGAAAGTCTCGGCGCGAGAAAAGTTTAGGCAGCGTATATCAGTCACTTTAAGATAAGGGTCGTCTTCGGGTACCCTTATAGGTGCACATCGCCGATCAGCCTTGCCCTCAGGCTGGCAGCAGTGCTGCCTATTTCGGATGTAGTCCACTAGAATTGTTTACGGCTTGTTTAATACGTCAGCTTTGTTTCTGTGACCTACTTCAAGATAACCTCATTATAATTGCCTACAATAATATTACATGGAAAGATAATATTTATTAAGTTATTTTCAGTACACAAAGTTGACGACCTTTTTGATCTAGCGGTCAGCAATGCGATCGTTAGACGAGAAGGATCCCGGTATGACCAATTTGGGAAACGAACTTTTCTACATTTATTCAGGTCTTGTTGTCCTGTGTTTAATTTTATTTGTTCTAGTATTCATACTATACAGAATTTTCTGCTATAATTAGATAGTCAGTGTGATTATCTGGCGTGTTATTATATTGTTTTTGGACTATAGAATGGTTCTCAATTCGAATGTATTTTTTTTGTATGTATATTACGCGATAACTTCGACCATTTAATTTTGTGAACCGATTTTGATGATTCTTTTTTTGTTGGAAAGAGTTACTGAGGTACATTACTGAGGTACTCTCATTTACATTTGAAGAAAATATTCCACCTCTAAGGGTGGCAAACTAGGGGACGGATACGGTTTCGCGCACTTTCCGGTATCCGATTGCAATAAAACTTGGCAAAATACTTATAATTCCATGCACTTTTGAAGTCGGTTTGTTTAGTACTTTGTACTGAGATTATTTATTTTTTAGAGTACCAAGTGACGAACAAGTCGTGGGCCTGTTCATAACAGTTGCAGTGCCACTTTAATTAATTATAAACATCAAAATCGCCTGTAAAATTGACATATTACGTACATTCCCCTACATTAACGATTTTGTCATCTGCAGCAAAATCTTTGTAGTACATATTTACCTTAAGCGAAATAAACTCACACGGTCCATTCAAGACGCTGACATCTTTGCCGATAAACTCGAGGAAATGTACCGCGGCGACGTTGAAAGTGTGCTTATCGTCAACACGACCCGTAGACTGCAGCGCGGTCCGAACCTTCCGGGCCGTCGGTAATGGAGCACCTTTCCTGTTCATGCGGATATCTTGGTCTGAAATGTTCCCCAAAATAAATATAAGGTAAGAAAAATTTTTAAAAGTATTTTCAGATTTTAATTTCAGCTCGTTCCGGATTTGACTGAACAGAGTATATTTGTGCGACAAATATTTATCTACGTAAGCTTGAAAAATAGAAATAATGTCTTGTTGGAGCATAAAGGATGTTCCTTTTAGCAGCGTATATAAGTGCTCATTTATTTTTTCTCAAAGCCTAATCCATTTAAACTATTTGGACATAAATGTGTGGTATCGCATTGTTGGAGTCGTATAAATTGTCTGCGTTGATTTTTTTTTAAATTTCTAGTATAAGTTCTATATTATGACACAATGAGCTTGTAATAGGAGACAAACATATCATGCTCCTTGAATGTGTTAAGTAGGTATCTTCCGACACTGACTCGTTGCTTCAAACTTTATAAATAAATATTATACAACATCACATACGTTGCTCTGATTCCAAAGTAAATAACTAAAGCACTTGTGTTATGGAAATCGGAAACAGCGACGGTACCACAAACAGCCAGATCCGGGTCTATGCAGAAAAGTTAATTTTTCCACATTGACCCGGTCGAGGATCCAACCCGGGACCTCGGAAATAGCGACACTATGAAAACCTATGTGCAAGCTACTCGACCACGGAGAACGTCTAAAAATACATAATTTTAGTTTTACTTTTGATCTATACACATTACATATATTAATTTATTTATACTATACACATTATACAACACTAAAACCTATTTACAATCACAATTTACTCCTACAGCTGTACATATATTCACACCTGCACGCGCACTTACATATCTAATAGGTTAATTTAAATGTATGTACTGTTTACTCTTTATTATGTATATTATTTTAATGACTAACTTTACTTATAGTCGTAATATTTTTGCTTACAATACAATTAACCTCTCTTTGTTCCTGAATGAAAACTAGCATTTTAGGGCGCCTTTAAATTAGACGTTTATTGAAGTACTGCAGTGGCACCACTGCGGCGTAATTTTCATACATTATTTAGAAGCACAGTTACAGCGCCATTGTCTTAACACGCGCGCGTCACTTTTCCAGTCACAATTAGTGAACTGAAATTACTGAACGTTACAGACGCGCGGCTGCCGCGTCACTGCAGCGCTTCTACAAGCATCTAATTTGAAGGTACCCTTAGGAAACTTAGGCGTATGCTGAGCCTTTACCCTTTCACTGCTATGACAATAATGTTATGTTTTTACTTTTGTATTTTAATCTGTATTTGTGTCATATTAGTAAATAAAGTCCGTCATGAATAAATTCATTATTTTGAATAAATTAACTTTTTTACTCTTCAAACGCAATATCGGACAATTAAAGCTTAAAATATAATTTGTAGACCCTTTTTTCGTTATAAAATAAAGGTGTAATCATAGATCGTTATACCACGATTTCTACGTACTAGCGTTCTTTGTTGTCATATTGTAATTATTTCCAGTATTTCTGTTTTTGGGCCTACTCATAAGTTCGCATTAATGAAGGTTACGTGGTTTACGAATGTAGGCGACGACGATTATCTAATATTTTTTCTAGAACTCTACATAAAAATATCAAACTTGACTCACTATTATTTCCATAGTCCGGAGTAAGCATTCTCAAGTAAGGTCCTCTGGCGGATCCTTTGGATGGATATTTGAAATTGTTGCACGTACCGTCGATGCGGCTGCCTTCGTGAGGCGCGCACGGCTCGATTTCAATAGTACAGTTCCTGAGACCCATATCATATAACACATGTCAATCTATTAGCATTTTTTGTGATACCGATTTATTATGAAAGTTCTACCTCTTTCAAATTTCAATTGATACTTCCCATGTAGAAGAATAAATGAAGACTATTAGCGCAAAAGTGGTGTAACTTCGTGAAACGCAAATAGTAGATAATGTGAGATTTAAAATTATACATTATAATATATCGCACATGAAACAAAATGGTATCGTAACTCAAAATAGAGGAATTGAGAAGACACGAGTTCAGAATCCAAAACATTAATGAAACAAAAAATATATATATTCTCGTTTATAAGTGGATAACTAAATATGGTGCATAAATAAAAATGAAAAGAATGACTTCTACAAATCCCGGTTGTTACTACATTTTTTGTTAAAAAATGTGACAATATTCAATATAACTAACTAACGTGCCATAACCAACGTGCACATAAAAATAAAACAACATTTCACCAAACAACTACTTGACGCTGGAAAGGTAAAACGTCTAACGTACATTTAGAAAATATTACAGATGAGCGATTTAAAACTTTTTTTAACAAAATAATCATCTCTAATTTTTGTTTTTAATTTTTTTTATTTCTAATATGGAAAAATTGAAATTTTGTAGTTTCCAGCGTCGATGTGTTCTCAGGCACTTTTAACCGACTTTCAAAAAGGAGGAGGTTCTAACCTCACCTAATAGTTCCTAATAGTTCTAACCTAACCTATTATTTTGTGTGTATTATTTCGACTTTTGTGAACCGATTTTGACGATTCTTTTTTTGTTAGAAAGGGGGTACCTCAGTGGTAGTCCCTTTTACAGAAAATATTCCACTTCTAAGGGTGGTAAATTAGGGTTTAGGGATGAATCCGGTTTATGGGATTTCGGACAATGGTGTCCGTGAACCGATACTTATAAAACTTGGCAAATGAATTGATGAATGAAGGAATTTCATAAACTTTTGAGGTCTATTTTTTTTATAATAACGTTGTAGTTATTAACTTATTTCTTACATTTTGAGTGGTGACAAATTAAAAGATCGGAATGATCTTTTATAATTTCAGTTTAGATAAGTATTTCATGCATCAAAATTGTACTGAATAATGAAATAAACATTTTAATAAAAAAACGTCGTGTTAGGTTAATGACATCTTATTATTTTTATTGAATATTATGATGTTTTTAAATTTCCTCAATACGATCGAATGCGCGCCGATGTCTGTTGCCTACATGCATTCGAGTCCGGTTGGATCGCGGGAATATTATGTTATGTTTGTTCCATCTTTGTATCAATAGTGAGCATAACAAGATAAATTAATAATTATTAATAGAAAGATCGAACAATTAGAAAAAAATATTTCGACCCGGCTGGATTCGAACCGACGTCTCGTAGCAAACCATGCCAGACGCTATGCCAACTAAGCCAGGGAAAAAACCAGCGGACCTCAAGAATTTTTCTATGTGCTTCTTGTCCGATCTTTGAATTTGGTTTTCAACGACTTTTAGCCGTAGCGCCATCTATGAGAAATCTATGAAAGTGTTTCGTCACCCAGTTAGGTACCTTTACAGCTACCAGCCCTGGCTAGAGATGTCGCTATTAACTGTAATTACGTTTCACCATCATGATATTTAATTATTTTTTGTGAAATTTCTCCACTAGTTTTGTTATAATGACTAAATATCGAACACTTAAAAAAATTCCATCGATCTGGCCGGATTCGAACCGACGCCGACGTCTCCTACAATAAAACAACCAAAAAAAGATAAATTAATTTCGACAAACAAAACAAAGGTGTGTAATATAGATACTTTTACTAGATCGGCTTACCTGTTGTGATATTTTTGTCGAAGTTCATTGTCTTCAATTGCTTTATCACTGTACCTATTATATATTTTATACTTTGCCCCACTCACGTCTAAAGACAGCCATATAAAAATAAAAACTTGAAACAAATAACTCATTGTTACACACCACCGGCTATTTCAGCGTACACGAAACTTGTAGTTGAAACCCGAATAACGAACACGAAATCTTTTGCAACAAAATGAAATTCAATTTGCATGATTGCTTCAAAATTGGACATAATACTTAAACAGTTCCTTTCATAAATTAGTTGTATGATGGTTCACTTGACTTGCCCAATAGAGATTAATAAATGTAACAAGAAAGCGTATTAAGTATCTGAAGTAATTTTACTTTTCTGCTTGATGTGCGCATAAGTCTCCTCTAGGAGAGATTTAAGGATTTAACACATCACACTGGCATAATGCGGTTTGGAAACATAATCAACGATCGCCTAAAAAGAGGTTTCTTATTAAATTTCACATGTTCCAAAATATTCTAATACCAGTAGAGCTCCGTATGAAAGAGATCGTCCATGGAAGTACTGCCACGTTACCTACTCATGCTGCCAAGCAGTATGTTAACATTATTGCGTTCCGGTTTTAAAGGGTAAGGGTGCTGGTAAAATTACAGATACAGGGGACTTGTGAACTTATGTCTCAGGGTGACACCACAGTGGCAGTACCCCTAAGATTTTTGCGATTAAAAGCTCCAAGTGGCATTGCAACAGTTACGGATAGGCGTGTCGCTTACCATTACACGACTAGTTCGTCCTGTCAAAAAAAAGGTCGGGTCTAGCGAAACTTTGGAAGATAAAATACTGTCGCTAGGACCGTTTTGGTCACAGTGGAAGATTGGTAACCACAATTTTTTTACGGCTACATAATCTGGCCTTGGCCGTCTGTAATATCACTGTGTCTGTCCCTCTACCTTATTGCCGTATTACTAGTTCTCATCTGTCATCAAATTTCCTGTCGTCTTAAGATCCAAAAACAGAAATGACCAGTTTCTTTTTTTATGAGGCAAGGATCTAGAAATAAAACACTGTTCTATGAGAGGGAGTAAAGAATGTACTTGAACAGGTATTTTAAAATGCCACGCAAATTATCCCTTACGACACTAGAACGTCGAACATGAAACTTGATTCGTGATAAAGGGGTGGAAATGGCACACGGCAAGTGTAAGGTAAACGCTCTAGTCACGAGATATTTGTAAAATTGTTATTTTGTCGCATTCCCCACAAAAAAAAAACGATTGTACTAAGTACTATCAGTAAAGATTATAACATTTTTAAAGATCTCACAGACATTGACAAGTTAATACGCTCTTTATTTTGTGTTGCACTTAAAGTAACAATTGACGATTACATTATTAATTTTGTATTGCGTACAAAATAACAAAATATGGTTAAGCTCAAATACGTAACGGTTTTGGATCACTGCCACGGGCATGTCCAACGAATTGTATGTGACAGTTCTGAGATGTAATATTCACTAATGGTCACTATCACGAATGTTCGCTTGCGATGGACAGTTTCCTTTAAAAAACATAAAAAAGTTTTAATGAGTTTCCCTTCCTTTGACCTCTGGGATAACAACAAGACATGGACAACTGTACATCTTAATTTATAAATAGCCTGAGAGGTTTTCTGTGTAGGCAAATGAGAAAATAAAGAATGTACCTACTTCAAACGAGGTTAGTTGCCTTTGGCTATTTCATTTCACACTTAGTTGTATTTATGAATTTTGGTGAGCGTAGACAAGGAAAAATTAGGAGGAAGGATATACCTTTAAAGTTCTTTTTTTTTTTTCCAAAAATGTCATGGTGAGACGTTTTCACAGCGTAACCGTGTTCCTAGCATTTTGCACGCCTCTTAATTAGAATAGTCTATTTTTGCACAAAATATTTCTATAAAAACACCTCAATCATAGTTTTCTGTAAGTTAAAAGCCCGATTTGAAGTTATGTATGTAGTTACGTACGTATGTAGTTATCGTAGAAACGAATAGCTTCGTAAATGTGTTGAATAATTTTTGCATGCTACTGTCGTTAATACAATGTTTCTTTTATTATTTTGCTTACTTTTATTAGGTAGGTAAAATAAGATAGGTATGTTAAGCTCTCGAAACGTGTCACGCTAAAAGTTGGCTAATTCGTCAATCTGAGCTTAGTCTCGCGTTGCATTCTGAAGTTACCGAATGTCAGGAACCTCAGAGACAATCGGTCAAATACAAATGCCTTCATGTATTATGAGATTTTGTATAAACTACACAAATAAGGTTTGTAAAATATGCCCTTGAATATTTTACAAGCCTTATTTGTGTAGTTTTTTGATTCCTTAATCACTTAGGTATTATGCGTAATTGTTGTTTTAATGTTTACTGTTTTAATAATTTGCGCTTTTGTTGTTATAAAACGTGCGTCCCGTTTTCGCTTGCATGTCATCCTATTTACACTCGTTAATACAGACGTTTCAATGTGACGGTTTCATCATAAGACAACAATATTTCTAGTAGGAATTTATATCGGTTTCGTCATGATGCAAACTGTATCCATACGATATGTTTTATTAACTAACAGAAGAAGTGTAATATAATATTTTAAGTAATTTGCATAGGTAATTTAACATTCAAACGGTAGGTCCATGAGCACCAAATAATTACCGTAGGTAAATAATCTAAATAGATCTCATAATGGGTTTCTGACTAGCAATTACATTTACAACTATGATAAAAAAACCGACCTTAAAAGTTCGTAGACTTCTATTTGCTAAGTTTTATTGAAATCGGTTACCGGAAAGTGCGCGTTACCGGATTCATTCCCTAGTTTGCCACTCTTAGAAGTAGAATATTTTCTTAAAAATTTAAATGGGGCCAATACTGAGGTATCCTCTTTACAACAAAAAAAGAATTATCGAAATCTGTTCACAAATGCCGGAGTAATTGCGTAACATACATACAAAAAAATACATTCGAATTGAGAACCTCCTTTTTGGAAGTCGGTTAAAAAATATTTTTTCAATTAAAAATATAAATGATTTGTACGTATTTTACAACAAAAAATCGAAATAAACCACTTGAAACATCGACAACGCTTTAAAACGTGAAACAAAAATAAGTAAGCTTCGAAAAATCCCGGCTTGAAGCTTGGATTTCCCGTTAAAAAGCGCCTCGATTAGTTGGAATTACCCAGCCCGACCTCACTTACGGTCTTACCTCAATGCACTGCCACTTCTGGCCATTGACTACACTACTTCAGACCGATAGATCCGTTCATATTTCGGCTGATGATTGTAATTGTAAATACAAATTAGTCAACTTACATGTAATTTTAATTGCACAAATTTTGAATTCTGTATTCTTATCCAGTTGATCTTGAATAGCTTTAAAAGTCCACAATAGTTGCATTAATAAAAAATAATAATAATAAAGATTTTTGTTCATTGTGAGAAAAGGAGGGTTAAACAAATTAGATTGAATATCAGTTAAATTTAACTAAAAGTTAACAAAGCGACTGGAGTCCATTGGTAGGTAACTAGACGTGCGTTACTAGGTATTAGATGTAGGTAACTAGATCTGTGAATTGAATTTACACAATTCAGTTTGTTTTTAATGAACATAACTGCGCTACATAGTAAACAATGTGATAACGAGTCGAGCGCGCCTGCGCGTGTGTATGTATGTAAGTGCGTGTACGTGTGTACTTATGTATAGTGTGTGTGTATGGAGTGAATACACGGAAGATAAAAACAATGGAAGTACCTTAAGTCTCGATTACTATCGGAACCGATGTCGCCAAAACTCACACATTATAATTTGAAACACTACAAAATATAATATATTACAAATTCTAGATTGTTAATATAATTTAAACTTTACCTTGTTGGCATATTGTTAAAAGTTTAATACCATCAATACCTATTATTACTAGTTACGACGTTTTGATATTGTATTGAAATTTCAATCAATATATCTAGCGGTTCATTGCTGAACGACGACGAATTGGATTTATTAATTTAGTTCTTCAAACAAAGAGCGACCATATTGCAGGGGTATAAGCTATATTTTCGTTTCTTGTAACGAAACTTGTAAAAAGGATGAAATAACCACCACGGGTAATATTTTTGGTGCGGTTATAACTTTTGCATTTCGAAACAGCAGAATTAGGCATTTTTCTAGGATTTTAGAGAATTTGCACGAAAGAATGACACAACCACACCATACAAAGCGAAAATGGCGGAATGAAATCAGATAGGTCTTTCGAGACCTATAGTTGGCATGCGCCGGACGCTAAATAACCACTTTTACTGTATTTATTGTTCTGTGAGTGAATATCTATATGTTATATTATCGAGCAAAATGCAACATCCAAGACTTTGAAACGTTTCTTGCATGTATTATATTTCCGTTTAGTATGAATAGTTAGCTACAAGGGACAAAATGTAATATTTTTCGGTGTAATGAAATGTGCCTTATCTACAAACTTAAAAATCATTTAGGCGGAGATTAGTCTAATCCAGGTTTTTAGCGTCCTTTGTCAGTCCAATACTTTATTGTGAAAAATTACCGTTTCTGTTGTGTCTAAGAATTCGTGTTGAGAATATTTTAGCTTTGCGAATTTAAAGGAGTCTAATCATGATGTTATTATTTGTGTTTTATTTTCTTTTTTGTATATTTTTATTAACAGTAGAGCTACTTGTGAAATAGTCGTCTAAGGAAATACTGCCACCTTATCTATTTTTGCCACCAAGCAGTAATGTGAGCATTACTGCGTTCCGGTTTGGAAGGGTCAAGGTTGCTGGTGAAATTGCAGGCATATGGGACTTGTCACGCGAGTCTTGCATAATAATGATAGAAAGTAACACTTAGTCCGTAAGTCAATGCTAGTAGCTGTAGGGAAATGTGAAGGAAAAGAAAGAAGACAGAAACAGGCTGTAACATAAAACAATGGTATAGAAACAGGTACAATTTTTTACAGGATTGAGATAAAAAGTGATGAAAATATATACTTATACGTATATTACTCAAGTTGGTTACAGAATAAAATATATTTTTTTATTTTAATAAAAAATAAGTGCGCATTTGGCTTCCATCTCACCTGATGGAAAGTGACGTTGCGGTCGACGATGTAACAT